CCCAAACCTTATTGTCTTGCATGGACTTATACTCCTCCTTCATTGCTTCAATCCATTTTTGAGAGTTAGAACCTTGCATAGCTTGACAGAAGTTAATTGGGCCATCTTCCATTATATCATTATTTTCCTCATGTTCCTGAAGAAATACCATGTAATAATCCGAGATAACACTTCTTCTTTCTCTAGTGGATCTTCGCAAAGTTATTGGCTCATGATGCACAGGTTCTTGAGGATCTTGAGTTTGTTCTTCATAAATAACCAAATCATCTTGAGTAAAGGGTAATGCCTTGTAGAGGATCCGAACTTACTTTATCAAAAGTAACTGTTTGAATCGATTATGGAATTGTTACCGATTCTTCCTCCAAGACAAAGTTCTTAATCTTATTCTTCCCCCCAAACTCAATATCTTCAAAGAACGTAGCAGTTCCCGTCTCAAAAAATTGTCTTTAATTTGGGATCATAAAATTTATATCCCCTGGATCTTTCAGCATAACCAATAAAATAACTACTTACTGTTCGAGAGTCCAATTTCTTTTCATTTGGCTTATAAGGCCTTGCCTCAGCTAGACAACCCCACACATGAAAATGCTTCAGACTAGGTTGTTGCCCAGTCCAAAGCTCATAAGATGTTTTGGTAGCTACTTTAATTGGTACTCTATTTAAAATATAAGTTATCGTTTTTAGTGTCTCTCCCCATAGTGATTCCAGTAAAGTGGAATGACAAATCATACTCATTATCATATCTATAAGAGTGTAACACAAGCTCAAGCGCCACGATTCAATTGTGACCTAAGCATTTGTGCCATAATGCACCTGAGTGAGTATTTCAATTTTATGTTTAGTACCACATGATTCTGTATTAAGGGTTTCATTATAGGTGGCCACAATATCAAATAAATATTGATTATCATAAGCCAAAAGTGAACCAGTTCCAACAATATCTGAATTAAAAGACAAACTGAAATTATTGTTTCCAAATGAACACAAATAATCTAATTTGTCCAAATGACGACACAACAAAAGTGTCTTTTAAATCTAAATAAAAATCAGTACTCAATAACAATTTAAAATTCCCTATAGCTTCCACCTCTACTGATTTGCCATCTCCAACATATATCCATTTTTTTTAAGAATCAATTGGCTTCTGGTAGCTTAGGCAACCCTTCATAGAAACACTGATGTTAGTAGTTGCACCTGAGTCTAACCACCAAGTGTTACTAGGTATTGACGCTAAATTGACTTCAGAACAAACCAAAGTAGGAAATATACTTTTGAGGATTGGAACAAAATTTAAATTGGTAGATACTGAAGCAATTGTAGCTGAATTTAGAACACGAGAAATAAATTAATTATACTCACATTATATAAAAAATAAATAATTATAAATATATATTCAAATAATGGTTTAAACCATCTCAAGACACCCAATGCACCATTATTATCAAGTCTTTGGACAGTAATATTAACTGCTAGAGGTATCTTGTTGTAATAATCAAACATTGACAATAAAACACGTTCAACAACAAACCAGTCTTTGGATTGATTTATCATCGACAAAACAAATCCTTATAATTATCACATGTTTATCATTACAAGTGTGTATGCAATTCGGCCAAATATTAATCTTCCTTTGGGTCGACTAATACTCGCATGAATATAAACAAACACTAACATTCAATATTTTTCATGAACTCGCCCAATTCAAGAGAGATTACTTTGGTGACTTCTTGACTCAATTTGCTCACAAAAAAATATTAAACTACTAAAAAATTAAATATTTTATTTATATAACAAAACCAAATATTTAATATTTGCAAACTAATTCAAAAGATAATCACCTCATTAGAATTCCACTAAGGATGAACACCTCCCTAGAATCTCATTAGGGATGAACACCTCCTTTGAACAAATCAAAGGATGAAAATCACCTCTTTTTTCACCAGTACATAAAAGATGAACATCTCCCTAAAATCACACTAGGGATGAAACAGAGATAGTTATGACCCTCTTTAACACACTGCTCTAAACCCTAAAAGGGGATTAAATAGTAATCACTCAAACCCTAAATAGGGAATTTAACATCAACTTTTCCTTAAATCCCTAGAGGATAAAGATAATAAAATAATAATAGTCACACATGTGGAAACATTCACCAGTTGCCTAAGATCCTCTATGTTGGGAATTCCCTAAACACCCCTCAATCCCAAACCCATCCATATCCACCATGAAAAGAAAACAAAAACAAAACCTAGAAAATTAAATAAAAACAAAAAAACAAAAGATTCAAAGAGAACAGAGAACCCAATATAAGAAAGATTGAAATTTGAAACATTATTTCTTTCTCAGTAAAACTTGAAACTTAAACTCGAAAACAAAAGGGAAAAAGCAGAAGAGAAGAATTCATAGCTTCCTCCACTGGCTCCATCAAGCAAGCAAAATCAGATTGGGGATGTTACCCCCAAATTTAAATTTTAGGGTTCACGAAAATTTGACATTATTCTCCACTTAGGATTCATAAAATTGGGTAATTTGAATTGTTTAAAACAAAATTAATCCTAATTTTCATAATTAGAGTTCTATAAATTAAGCAGACATGAATCAAATATGGGCGACTCTAATACCAATTGTCGGAAAACTAATAATAATTATTATCCTGATTTTGATTCTAACGATCAAACATAAACGTAATCCCATACTGATAAACATATTGTAAACTGAATACGAAAGCGTACCTGAATTAGTCATAATGATGATGTCTTTGTAGAACACTATATTGATCTTATGGTCTTCCACCTGAAGAGCACCTGTATTTCCCTCTTGATTTTCTCTCTTGATGGGGATAAAAAGAAATGAATGGGAACTGATACTTATGTTTTGTGTGTGTGCTCCCAGAAGGGGACCATGACCCTTTAAATAACCAGAATTAGGTTAATTACTTAAGTTTTAGTATTTCCAATTTGGCCCCTCATCAAATTAGAAATTACTCTATGGTCTCTACACAATTTTATTTTCATAACATATGCCTTTAGCCAAAACTTTAATTTAGTCAGATCACTTTATTATTTGGCTTAATAAATAATGGCCCTAACACATTTAAATTATGTATCATATATGTACATTACCCAAATTTTGCCAACACTTTTGCTTGGTGAAAATTTTCTAATTTAAGCGATATCCACTTTCGCTTGAATGAAAATTTCTTCGTTTGTACGAAAATATACTTGAGACAAGCCTCTTCCATTGGGAGATTTTTCACTTGAGCAAGATATTTTTGCTTGAGTGAAAATGCACCCAAGAAGAGTCATTTCCTCTTCTACAATCACGTTTGAGCGACCAATTATCGCTTGAGTAAAATATGCAAATAACAAACCTGTTAAATTCATGTTAAACTACACTCCAAACATAAACACTATCTTATGAGACTCTATTACTCAATTTTCTTTTAAAATGTCATATCTAGTCTAAATATAACTATCATATCCTAACAGGTCATATACATTATTACTCTAAACTTAACTCATTCAATCAGAATTAAGATACAATACAATAACTCAATTGCCTACAAATCAAACAATGTGACAAAGTCACTTTCCCAATCTAGATCTTCTAACATAGAATACCATGGAAATTAAAGAACAACTAGTTTCCTTTACCTTTCAATTTCAGTGCTCTCAGTCTTGAAAACTCAAAATCCCCAATTTCGTAGGGATTCAGATCCTACTTACAAAAAATCTCAATTAACAAATCAAATCTACTATAATATTCCTAAACTAGTCAAGATTCATCTTTACCCCACTATAAGGTTACATACAAGACTCGAATGTCCACATGCAAACCTTAGTCTTAAATTTGTAAAAATACTCTAAAATTAGAAAAAGAAAATCTTACTATATTTAAGATTATGATCAAATGAAAATGTTTCTTTTATCATTAGGAACCCAATAATAAACTTGAGTCTAGAAAAAAGATAAAAATTGAGTAAGAAAGTTTCGAGAGAAAAGTCAGATGATTTAGAGTATAAAGAGATGGTGATTATTTAGAAATGAAGTTTGAAATATAAAAATTTTCTATTTAAATTATTTTTGTCTCAAAATAAAAACTTCAAACTTTACTCCATTTAATCATTTTTTTAATTACTAAAATCTCGTTAGTTATTAAAACCAAAAACATATTGATGCCTATATTTTATATATGTTAATTTAAAAAGTTAAAACCTTTTTTCAAATAATAACATAAACACATAAATGAATAGAATATTTTTGAACGAAAATAGTATGAATTATCAAACAAAAATATGTCGCTTCTTGGTTATATATATTATATCTCATATATATAATATTTGTAGTAAAAATTTAATAAATATAGTATATATAATTAAGCTCATGACTTGTTTAACAATAAAGAAGATCAAGAATAAGATTTTCTATCACTTATTTCACATATATAGTCCTTTTTGTATAACTTAATTTTCCAAAATTAATTAATATTTTAAAAAATTAACTCTTCTAAAAGACCATTCACCTCATTTAGCAAAGAACAATAATATATGAACGACCAATTGAAAAAATACAATCATGTTATATTAATATAATAATAATAATAAGTATAATAAGTGAATTCATGATTAAAAATAAAAATAAATTATGATCAATTGGTTGTTTGTATTAGATATTTGCACCAGAAAACTCAAATATCGCAAAACGCTTAATGCGAAACCACATACTTGGTCATTACTACAACTAAAATAGAGCAAAACGTGCTTAACCATCCAAAACTTTCTCCAAATAGTTAGGAAGAGAGCGAGGTTGACGTTGGAAAGTTTACCAAATTGGGTTTTGAAAGCAAATGCAAACCATCAATTCCAATTCACAAGACATATATAAACTCCCTCGAGGCTAGACTTTTCTTCAAGCTTGGTTTTGGATACAAAAAGCTAAAAACATAAAAAGAAGAGGAAAATAAAACCTTAGAAGAGAAGAAGCTAATAGAAGGCTCCAAAAATGAGTTTCAAAAGCTCTTCTCTTCTGTGCATAGCACTTTTCCTTGCATGGTCTTCTGCTATTTCTGGCTTTAACATCAATGAACTGCTACAAAAAGAAGCAGATCTTTCCACATTCAATAAGTACATCACCGAAGCCAAGCTTGCAGATGAAATAAACAGCCGGAACACCATCACTGTCCTGGCTGTTAATAACGAGGCTATCGCTTCCATTGCTGGCAAGTCCCCAGAATTCATCAAGGCCGTGATTAGCACCCATGTCATCCTTGACTTTTTTGATGAGAAGAAGCTAATGGAAGCCCAGGCTACCAGCCAAAAACTGACTACCCTCTACCAGGCCTCAGGTCTTGCCTTGAAGGAACAAGGTTTCATCAGTGTTCAACTCATCGGTGAGGGCGCAATCGCCTTCAACTCCGTCGGATCTTCCGAGAACTCCGAGCTCGTCAGAACCGTCCTCTCTCAGCCCTACAACATCTCCATTCTCCAAGTCACCAAGCCCATCATACCCCTAGGCCTTGATTCTCAAACCCCAACTGCACAATCTCCTCAAGGATCTCAATCCTCCCCACAAACCGCCAAGGCCCCATCTGCCACAGACACTGCTCAGTCACCAGCCACCACAAAGACTGCTGATGCACCAGCTCCTGCACAGAGTGCCCAGGCACCAGCCACCACAAAGACTTCTGATGCACCAGCTCCTGCACAGAGTGCCCAGGCACCAGCTACCACAACCACTACTGATGCACCGGCTCCTACACAGACTGCCAAGGCACCAGCTTCCACAAAGACCGGTGATGCACCAGCTCCGGCAGAGAATGCCAAGGCACCAGCTTCCGCAAAGACTGGTGATGCACCAGCTCCGGCACAGAGTGCCAAGGCACCAGCTCCCGCAAAGACTGCTGACGCACCAGCTCCCGCAAAGACTGCTGACGCACCAGCTCCAGCAAAGACTGCTGACGCACCTGCTCCCACAAAGACTACTGACGCACCAACTCCTTCGGCTGCGTCTCCACCTGCCACTGCCACGTCTCCAGTGGCTGCCGATGCCCCAGCAGCTGCCGACGGTCCCGCGGCTGACGGTCCCGCCGCTGACGGTGGTGCAGCTAGCAGCTCTTCAACCATTAAGATGGGTTTGTTTGGAGCAGTGATGGCCTTCGCTTCTCTCTTCATCGTCCTCTAAACTTGTTCACCAAGCAAAGATGATATAAGTATATATATATATAATAGATATATACATACATATATACGCATTTTATTACACTTGTATTGTACGTAGAAGAGGAGCAAGAGAGAATGATAACGGGTTTCAGGAAAGAAACAACAGAATATTATTGGAAAGGGTATTGTAGAGTTTGTTCTCATTGAAAATACTTGTCAGTGACAATGAACTCAGATTTTAGTCGTTGCGACAAATAAATAAAAAGGTAATTAATACTTTTATGTTCGGTTTAAGAATGTTTGTATCATTTCCCTTTTTCAGATACATGTTTTGCTGATGCGGTTGTTTTTTTATGGTACATACAAGAAAAACAATAACATCTTAACATTCAAAACTTTTGTTACAAATGCATTTGAGAATGTTAAGAATGCCAATTTTCTACAAGATTTTAAAAGAGTGTACGTTAATTTTCCAATAGAAAAACAGTTTGACAAAGTATGTGTTTGATTAGAAGAATATTTGGGTTGTTGATTATATTAAGGAGTTTTTTTTTTTCTTTTTTTGTGGTATAATGACTACACTATATGAAATGAAAAATTCTCATATGAAGTTATTTTTAATGAAAAGGTATGTGTTTTTATTTATTTATTTAATGAGACATAAATTACACTTTTTTACAAGTAAATCCTTTTATTATATTTTTTAAAAAATAAAATAAGATTATGCATTATCTGTTATACATTTCTTTAGTTATAAATTTTTTATTTAAAAATGTTAATATTTGTTTACAATATTAAACGTATAGTGGAAATAATCAAGTTCAATGTCAACATGTACTCTCTTTGTTTATTTTTTATATTTTTAGAAAAATATCGTTTTTTATTAATATGTCAAGTTTAATATTATATTAATTATTTTTGTTATCGATTATATTGAATTATATTTATTAAAAAAGAATATAACAAGCTATAAGTTATTTTGGATAAAAAAAGTTAAGATGATTAAAATATTATGTTGGATAAATTTATTAAAAATAATAAAAATAAATATTTTCTTGTATAGTTAATCTTTATTAAAACTGAAAAACATAACATATAATTTTTTTTATATGAAGTATATTAAGAAAATATGAAGTATAAAATAGTTCTAATTGTATTAAATAATGATAATTTTATTTTAATATCCAAACTGAAAAACATAACATATAATTTTTATTATTATTGATCTTTATTAAATTATTTATTAATAAAAAAATTATAATATGCCTTAATTAACTTGGTTTGATTCTAATACTCAATATTAAAACTAAATTGGGTCCAAATCGGGCTCTCTCTTGTGGATGTGTGGAATTACCCAGGTCTAGAAGGACCTGCTTCACAGATTACGGGCCCAACCCAATAGAAGAAAAACTCATTATTGTTAATAATAATAATAATAATAATAATAATAACTTTTTTATAGGATATTATTATTATTATTATTATATTTGGGTTGTATTATAAAAGGATGTGAAAATATTATTTTTCAAATTAAAAATTGATCAATTATTAAGTTGTTGAGAAAATGAAAATGGGGGAGAATCATAGAAAACCCGTCTTGTGGATAATATTTTTAGTGTATTAGATAATATTTTACCCTAAAAATAATATTTTTGTTTTATTCATTTAGTGTATTAGAACATAAAATTTGATAAAGATAATACGAATAGTTGTTTTTGTTTGAGTTGAAATTTGATCATGATGATGTTTGGCGAATGAGGTTTGGATAGTTTTGGAATTTATACCTTCATCGTAAGCTTCACACTTTTTATTAAATTGGAATCTGAATAAATAGCCAAAAGTAATTCAATTGAAAACAGTGATCTCTTTCTCAAATTTTGGAACAAGTTCGTTTCTACCAAGGTCTTGCTTTCTCACGACATCCTAGACTACTTAATAAAATATGTAATTGTGGAGCATCATCCAATTATTTTCAGATATGTTGTCCAATAATGTTTCTATTCCTCCACACTATGCTTTTCATTACTCATTCCTCTCTATATTTTTATCTAAATCAAAATCATCTAATAACTTTCTGATAAAATACTCACAAGGTTATTTTTTACTTATTTTCATTTCTTTAATAAATGCATAAATATAAATTAATCAAGGATTAATTGAAAAGTGAAGATAAAATAGAAAAAAAATAGTTAATGTAATTTTTAATTTGGAAAAACATTAAAAAATAAATAAACAGAGCGTTTTTTGGTTCTCTTTCCGTTCATTTTTAATTATCATTTGAAAGAATTTCGTTTTTATTTATATGTTTTTTTCGAAGTTGAAGTAAATAATAACAAAAGTATATTTATATCTCTATTTCTTAATGTTTAATTAACTTATATATATTATACAAATAAAAAATATATAAAATCCTATAATTATTTTATTAAAATTAAAATATATTAATTTTTATATAAAATTTAATAAATAAAGATATAATAATATTATAATATATTGGTGAATAGAATCTTTATGTTATCTAACCAAAAATTTTCTTAAAAAAAGATTTTTCGTTACTTTCCTTATATTAAGAAATTTTTTACATCATACATCTCATTTTAGAACAAGTTATGTATTTAATTTAATTTTATAAAATCAATTCAATAAATTAATATTTATATTCACTTATATATTATCATAATGTTATTGAATATAACACAAAATTTCACTTGAAATTTTTTTTCTAACGTCGAATACACATAAAAATAAAGGAGAAAGTATTTTCACGATGTTGTTGCAATTATCTTTCCAATGTATTAATATAGTTTGACAACTAAGACTCTCATGTTGTATTTAGATAGATAAGAATATTTCTTGTTTATTACGATGCTTCTACGTGTCATTCTTGCTTAAAAATGTACAATAATAACTCTTCTGATGATTAACAAACAAAAAATTGAAAGCCATGTAAAATAATTACAACATTTGGACCAGTTTTTTCATCAAACTGTTTTGAAAAAAATAAGAAAAAATTTGAGATTAATTTAATCATTCTATTTTTTTTCCTGCAAATTTAACTTGTTCAAACAAATATATAAATTATTTTACATTATATAAGAGAATATAACATCATTCTTAACCTAAAACCTTAAAACAATGAGTTATGAGTCTTTCTCACTTATAACTTACTAAACTTTTTCATTTTTATCCAATGTGGACTTCAAACTCATACTTGAATTCTCAACATCTCTCCCTCATTCTTTTTCACATTAGTATACCTCATCCTTGAACGGAAGCATTTTTTAACCATATGTATTTAGTGATGATCTCACTTATACTCGTCGTTCAATTTAACTAGATTCGCTTGCTTAAAATCCTAAAATCATCATTATTTTTTTTTCTCAAAATTAACTTGTTCAAACAAATATTGTTATAATTGAAGCTATATATATTATCTTCAAATATATTAAATGCAAAACTTGAAGCATTACGCACACAACACAAGAATTTAGTAACATTTTCTATGATATCTTGCTGATGACAATTTGATAGATTCTGATTTGAAATGGGTTTCTTGTTCATCACATTCGTCTAGTGTCAACTCTTATGTGCTTATAAATCCACAACCCTACGTGATTCATATATATAATATATATATATATATATATATATATATATATCAAGAAAAAAGTGTGTTTGTTCATATACCAGATTTGGAATCACAAATTTCTTTGTAGAGTTTCAAATAAACAACACACGCATATACTGAAAACCCTTCTTAGAAAACTTGCATGGCCCCATCAAATAATAAGCATGAATACGCAATCAAATAAAGATTAAGAAAATGGTGGAATATGTGCTCATATTTACATGCTTCACCACTAATTAGTCCATGACCTCATTTTTTGTTATTGATGGAAAAAATATGTTATAAATTTTGAGGTATTAGATGCTTCTCTTCTCCACTTTCAGTCTTTCTATTTTATTAGCTCCTAAAAGGAATATGGTATCAACAAAATAGTCACATCCTCTTAATTATATCATAAACAAACCTAATAACTCACCTAATTTACAATATTCCTTATCTACACATTCTCCCTAAAGGTGTGTGTACATTGCATGTATCACTACCCAAATGCCATCTATTTTCGAAATTATTATTATTTTATACCTCTGACTTTCTAATCTTATCTTTGCTTTATGTCACTGAGAAATTAAAATTAAGTGGATGTATTAATTAATTTGCTTAAATTAACACATTGTGGCTTACTTATGGGGCACATATCCCTCAAAGAAAGGACGAACCACTATTGCCCTAAGGGGAGGGAAAGGTTCAGATTATAATGATTATATAATAGTAAATTAAACTTTTGAAACCTAATGGAATCAGAATCTAGGCTCACTTTAACTAAAAGTTTTCATGCGTAAATCTCAACATACCTCAATCAGTAACCTATCACAATGCAACCCTTACTCATCAAAGTTATATGAAAGGAAACTTTAAATACTAAAAAGGTTTTTAAAATCAAAAATTTATATTAATAAAATAATATTTTTATAATATAATAAATATATGATAAATTTATTAATAAATACTTTTTTACATAAAAAATAATAAAATTTATTATTATAATTTATAATAAATATTATAAATATAAAATATATTAGAAAATACAAAATGAATAAAGATTAAAATAAGATAAAAATATAATAAAATAACTATTATTTAAAATTCACTAAAGAACTAAAATATATTATGTTCTTTTTTAAAAATTATATTAAAAAATATTGATCATAAATTTTGTTTCTATAATTAAAACCGGTTCAATCCAAATATTCAGTCGGTTTTATTTTAATTAAATTAAAATTTGATTCTTTAAAAACAATGGATCTACTCCGGTTCTCTATTAAACCAATTGAACCAGATCCAGTTTTTAAAACAATATTAATATACCCATTTAAAAACTAAGTCATTTTAATTTTATAAAAAATATATAATCAAAATCAAATCGGTGCAAAGAAATATTCTAGCACCTAAAAATT